CTGGACAATATCAAAAGGTATGTGAAGAGTTTGATTCAAGGCCGCCAGAACATGAAGGGCACCACCACCACCGCTCTGAAAATGTTTTGAACTATCTCCTGTGTTGCGTATTTTTGCTTCTCTAAAAAAAACATGTAGCACACAGCAGTTATGATTCTAGGTTCAGAACCGCACGAGAAGAGTAAGAGTCGTGGTTGATGACCTGCGAAGGAAATAAGAACCCGAGCCTCGCACGCGAAACAAGGTACTGGTAGGCAGAGGTTACGCAGCGGCGCGTACGGTAAATGGTCCCAAGACCGATCACTCTCGCGAGATTACTCCATGACGAGAAGGATGCCAAATCAAAACATGTTTTGGGAAAGCCCTCGACGAGGCGGTTTTCACACCAATTTTGGCACCGTCAAAGCTTGAGCTTTGAAGATCGGCGCAGGAGGGGCGGTATCTTAACCCTCCTAGTACTGGAAGCCCAAATGGGGACACTTTGGGGACACTTTGGGACACAGCACTCAAAGGCCTATTTACCGCACTGTAGTCACGCTAGGCTCCGCTGTATGCAAGGTACGTGAGAACCCTTGGTCTATCGTGCTTGGTGAGGTGGTACGCAGTGTGACATGCTGTGTGATGCCTCTCCTGGGCCTCTGACTTGCTGTATACATCTCCAAACCCGCGTGCCCCCCAGTTCGCAAAACTGTACATCGCCTGGTACTGGAAAAAAATCTGACTTGGCTTCAGTATGAAAAGTGTCCCCACGTGTTTTGGGGACACTTTTTATACTGAAGCCAAGTCACCCTTGGTCTGGCAATGAGCTCAGTTACTTCGGAGGGACTATAGCCCCTCCACCACTGGCTGACGAATATTTTTTCGTGCTTTTTCTTGCGGAGGGACTGGGTACTACGAGGGTTAAGGGTTAGTCTTAACGAAGAAATCAGATCTCCGAATCACATTTCGATACAAGAATAAAAGAGTCACCAAACGCGTACATGGCCTCTGTGCGGTGCTGACACGATGTCTACGCATGTGAGACTTTGAATCGAGCCTCGTCCGACGGAAAGCCACCAATTCGTCTGAGCATTTTAGGTTCGACAACCCACAGGAGATTGCCCCACAGACCAACACATCCCGCACGTTTTTTTTCGGCGCCAGTCACGTGCAACAACGAAGCGC